TTTCTTTTTTGAGACAGGTCCCACTATGTGGTCCAGGCTTGCCTTGAACTCCTGGACTCGATCTATCCTCCTGCCTCAGCCTCCCAAGTAGCTGAGAGACTACAGGCATGGGCCACCATGCTCCAAGTGGTTCTTACAATTTTAACAATGCATCTCATAAAATACACATCACAGAGACAAGTATGACTCAGAGTTGGATTGATTTTTATTATTTCTGTACTTATGCAAATTATTGCCAATGATCTTTTAAAAAAACCTGAATGAAGGCTGGGTATAGCGGGACATGCTGTAATCCCAGCATTGGGTAAGCTGAGTCAGAAGGATCATTTTGAGTTTGAGGCCAGCCTGGACTACCTAACAAGACTCTGTTTCAAAACGAAACAAAACAAAAATTAGAATGAGTTGGAATTCATTTACTACCTTTCAACCTTCTTCACATTATTCTTTGTTGATTCGCTAATGAGGCACTAGGATACTTTTACATTCTTCCATGATTATAAAGTCCTTTTCAAAACAGCCAGTGTTTCTGCTCAGTCAACTTTGAAGGCCTTGCCATTAAAAAAGCAGTGTAGCAGGTTGTTTTATGTATTTCTTAGTTCCAACCCTCTAAAAGTAGAGTCAAGAGAGCATTCAGTGTGAAGAGGGAAGGAAAGAAAGGCTGATAAATACACAGCTGACTTTGTCTGTGGCATGAGATAAGGTGCACACGTGAACAAGATGATTGCGATATTTCAACTAAAGCTGAAGAAGCCCTGAGCAGGTCAGCCCAGAAAGTAATCAGGTGTTTGCTCTACAGACCGTGCATGATAATCTACACTATTTTTCGTAATTTTGTCTGGAAAGAGAGTGCTTTGACAGCCCTGGAGATGTTACCTGTGGCCTTCAGTTGTCTTTAAGGGGAATTGTCTTTCAGGAAGTGGGATGCCAGGTAGAAAACGTTCAAGACAAAGAATAATGATGCATCACATTGGGCCAAATTCTGTTCTGCTTACCTTGTGTGCAAATAGAGTTGGTCAGGTGCAAAGCCCAGAATTTCACTCTAACAATTCTAACTATTTGTTTCCGATACTTGTGGTACTCTTAAAATTCAAAGTGTATGAATAAATTCAAATTGTTTGCATTGCATATATCAGTAAACCCCATCCACTGTCTGTTATCAGCAATCTTCCTAGGTGCCTTTACTTCCCACACTATCCATTCACAGAGATTCTTCTGTGATCATGGATTTTAATGTTCAAAATGTCATGATTAAGTCCTTTTAACCAAGACCGTCAGACAGAGGCGTTTATATTCCAATAAGCAATTTTCTCCACTAAATAATGAATTAACATATTTTTCCCTTAGTGACCTAGTTTCTGTAGGTGTTGTTCAGGTCCTTTAATTTAATCCCTTAAATTCATAGTGAAGAACAGAACCTCATTTCCCTGTGACCAGTGACTGAAAAGCATATGTGAAGCAATTGAACATTGAATTAAGAACCTTACTTTGCTTTACCCATCAGGTGATGGGCTCTGCTGACGTGTCCCCAGTGTGTTCCATTTCCTTAACAAACAGGGACTAAAATGACATCACCATGCACAGATTTTCTAGCAGGTTTGCGTTTAAAGATGAAGAGGAAATAGGAGGCCCAGTCTGTTTTCTTCTTGAATCAATTTTCTATTTCCTCTGTAACTTTTTCTTTATTCATTTTTTCATATTTTGACCTTCTATATCCTCTTCTTTAAGCTGCCTTAGTTTTTCTATATCGTTTTCAGTTTCTGAATTTAATTTTTGTTCATTCCTGAAGGAGCAGCTAAAATTTTTTGTCATTTAATGACATCTGGTTTTATAACAGCCCCATCTCTGCCTAAGTTGCTTCTGCCTGGCGGTTCTCAACCTGGTAGTTTTTGAAAAACCAGGAAGAGGACAAAACAGCTGGAAAGGGCCACTCGTAGGTGGCTAGGCAGCGGCCTGCTGGATAGTGCAGGAAGGCACAGCCCTTTGGCCGCTCCCAGGCTGCTCTCCATCCAGCTTCTTGGCTGTTGTTATTCCTGAAGCTACCTTTTTTTCCCTCTCCTTCACTCATCCACTTTTGGAAACCTTGTGCATTTCAAGCAAAGGATTAGCTCTGGACCAGTGCGTGGGAGCCTACTCTGAAATTCTGAGAATACTTTGCCTATTTAAAAGTGTTTTTGTATACGTGGTTGGCACCTTTGCTACAAGGTGACATATTATGGAGTCTTGCTGTGCCTGCCTGGCAAGTGCAAGGCCGTGAGTTTGACTCCTGGTATGGGGGAGGGGGGATATATATCTATATATATTGGAGTCTTGGGCCACGTGATAGCAGTTTGATTTTTGGAGAGTCTGGAGACTGACAAGTAAGTTCAGCCTTGTAGGTGCTACATGACTGACCCTCAATACAAACCCTGGACACACAGGCTCAGGTGAGTGTCCCTGGTTGATAGTAGTTAGTGTGTCTATCACATTTCACTGCTGGGAGAACTAAGCCTGTCCATATTTCTTCAGTGGGAGAGGACACGTAAAAGCTTGTGCCTGATCTCTCCTAGGACCTGCCTTTTGCTTTTATTTGGTCTGTATTCTTTACTGTAATAAAGCATACTCTGATGTGATAGGTTTATTTTTTTTTAATCTATGAGTATTTTTAGCAAATCTAGAGAGAGCACTTGGGGATCCCTGATGCAGTGAGGCAGCTTGGCTCTTGGGATCCCTTCTGCGGAGGAGAGGTGGGAGCCTGCCCACCCACTTGCTGACTGCAGTCCTAGCTTGATGCTGGAAGACGCAGAGTTGGTCTCCATCAATCCAGGGCTGTTTCTCGCAGACCTAACGTTGCTGGCCAGCTTTCTGTACCTTCCACAGCCTCTGCTAGAAATTGTAGCTCACTGTAGCCCATGAGCAGACAACAGAGTTTGTAATCAAACTTGTATGTGACACTGATTATCAACTCACAGAAAACCCAGGAGGGTTCTCACTCGTTCAGCTTGATCTGGCCTCATCCCTGTGGCTGTGGACCAAGAGGACCCTTAGATGTCTGAGATTGGTGAGCAAACAGGGCTCTATGGTTCTTGTTTATGATCCCAAGCCCATTGCACATTTTCTCCAACACCAGGGAGTGGTTTTAGTATTTGCTTTTCATCACTGCGAACAAAGAACTTAACATACAAAGAGGAGGAGGGTTTTCTTTATTTCTTTTCTTTCTCCATTGCTTATTGGTACATTTTACATATAAGGTACAGTTACATTCATCATTAAGATCTTGTACCTTTAAATGATGTATCTTGGTTCTTATTTTTACCCCATTCTCCTGCCCTCCCTTCATCCACTCGGCCCTTCCCTGTTTACAAAGACTTTGTTTCCACGTTTTTCCTTTTCTCACATTTCTTTCTTTTCAGGAAAATTTTCTTTTTGCTCACAGTTTGAGGTATCAGTCCATGGTCAGCTGGATCTGAGGCAAAAACAGCATAGCAGAAGGGCATGGTGGAGCTCTAAAATGTCCCCCAAAATGTGTATGTCCTGTGCCTGTAAGGGTCACATCCTTGTGCTACCTCTCTAGGACAGATGTGTATGGTACACTTTGAATCCAGAGCCGCAAATGGAGTCTCCCCAGGGTTTCTGATATCTGGGGACAGGCATATTCTTGCTAAGTAATCAGTCTCAAGAGTAGAGCCCCCAGGGTCTCATGGAGACCAGGTGCAAGTCATCTGTCAAACTGGTAACAATAAATAATGCTGAAAGCTGCAACAAAGTGCCACCAAGACCCTCAGATACTGAGTCATGAAACACTGCTTGTAAACAGATACATGTCATGCCTTAGTCTTAGTGACTTTTCTCACTGCTGAGACGCTCATTCAGCAACACCAAAGTCAAAAGGGGGAAAGGTTTATTTGGTTCATAGAGGTTTCAGTCCATAATCAGTTGACTCCAATGCAGGGTGGCAGAGAGGCAACGGTTCATGGCAGGGGAAGACAGCAAAAGCAACAAGGGACCTCAACAGCCCCGTCTGCCTCCTCCATTCCATCTAAACCACAGGATCGGGCTGTGCCAAACCACTCACGGGGAGCTAAACACACACCCTTAATCCCAGCGTCACACTTTCCAGATTCAAAAGGCCATAACAAGATTTTAGTGCCTTGCACGTCCTTAAGCAAAACAACTCGGGACAATGCTATCCCTTCTGGAATTAGCCTTCAGCATAATTAGCACCTGACCCCCTCCCTAATTGTGATTTTTTTTTTATCCAATAGGTCATAACTTTATTAGTGATAGAAACAGTACAAATTTCAAACCAAGCTGCAGTGACCTTTTTGAGACACCAAAAAAAAAAAAAAAGTCCTTTTAGATGGTTACATTGATAGTTCCATAATAGCATTTACAATATCATTACTGCTGTTCTTTAGGGCCCTCCACGCATTTGCTTGTGACATAACCAATTAACTTAAAAGAATTGGTTATGTCAATTAACTTCCACATCTGTTTCATCAACCTCCTCCTCTTCGCTCTCCTCTTGTACAGCTGGAGTCTGTGTATTTTCTTGAATGTTTGAGACAGCTTTACCTCGAACTTTGAATTTCTCAGCATCTGCTAACTATGCTTGCTGGGATAAATCCTCAATCTTGGCTCCCCCAAAAGCTATGTAGGTATTTGAAGCTGGACTCTTACAGATTTCTGGTTTCGTAGTGACAAAAAGGCTATTCTTAGATTTCCAAATAGTGACTCTAGTAACCCTGTAACCTGCTGAAGACCCAATTTGGGCATAGCCTTCCGTGCCTTCTTTTCACTCCGACTTTGTTTTGCTTTAAGGACTGGTTCTTCATCGATATCAGCTGCTGCCTCCAGGGGCCTTGTGTGGAATCTTGCTCCTCCAGCTCTTGTATTGATTCATCACTGTCAGATTCTGTTCCAGACCCTGTCTTAGCCTGGGGCTGTGGCAACTCCTGCTCTGTAGCAGGGACGGTTTCTGTGGCTTCACAGGACATCTTGTGCAGACAACGCGGAACCAAGATGGCGGCAGCAGTTGTGATCTTTTTAAAGACCAGTTGATAACTCTTGGTTTGATAGGCTACAGTACTTGCCCTACACTGTGGTATAATCACAGAGAAAATAAAATGCACCTAATTTCAAACAACTGTAATAATTGATAAGGTGCTGGTGTGGATTTAAACCATTGGATAATCCAGTGATACTAGTACAAAATGCACAAATTGTCTCATATTTTGGGTTAACTGTAAAACTTTTGTTCATCAAGTCTATTCTTTAAGCTATTTTCCTTAAAGAGCTTTAATTCAATTTCACAATGCATTTGATCAGCTACTTCATTATAATGTTTTATTATAATAATATTACAATGTAAATAATATTGTGCGATATTAAATTTGCCTATTTCTGTATTTTCATACTCATGTAGTATGTGGTATATACATGGTAATAAATGGCATAATATAAACCAGACATAATTATATATCATTATTTTCTCTCTCTATAAGAGCCACCTTTTTCTTGGAAGTGTAGTTAGAGTTGGTGTCTCTGCTATTTCAGAATTCCAGCGCCGGGAGTGGTGGTGCATGTCTGTAATCCCAGCACTCAGGAGGTTGAGGCAGGAGGATCACTGTGATTTCGAGACCAGCCTGGGCTACATAGTGAGTTCCAGGTCAGTCTCAACTACATAGTGAGACCCTGTCCCAAAAAAAACCAAAAAACCGAAACCCAAAACAACAACAAAAAACCAAAACAATTCCAAGTCTCTGAGCAGCATAGCCAAATTCCTTTTCACTGGTTACGTGATTTGACAGAGTGTTTCCCCTCAAAACACGTCCACAGCAGGGACATCCTGGCCACCCTGCAGGAGATCCTAGGCAATCCAGGGAGAGGGGTGACTGGATCAGCACAGTCACGCCCCCTCTTGGTTATTAGAGGGAAAAGAGAAGGGCTGGGCCTTCTTTCTTTCCTATCTCCTAGAGATCTGCAGAGCTGTAGGTGGGAATTCCCCCAAAGTTACTCTAAGTTTCTTTTGCTCATGACTCGAACAGGGGAGTGGGATGTGGTGGTGAGAATCTTACCTTGCTGCTTGCTTTATCTCTCTTTGGAAACTATAACCTTTCTGCTGGTGAATTTTAGGCTGAAAATGATATAGGTTCTGAAATCAGAGGTATTTGTTCTGTTACTACCAAGATCTGATTCTTGTTTTTAAGCTATATTTAGTGAATGAACAGATGTTAGCTGGAATTATTCAGTAAGAGATTTGAGGCTCCAGTTAGATAGTGGGAAAGAACTACTTCCGGTGAAATTATAAAGGGGAAATGTAATCAGTTCTTTTCTCCTCTCGCTTTCATCAATTACAAATAAAATTATAATACAATGGAATATGATGATGTCTTTATGATTTAATCAGTGAAATATAGGCAGTGTAGATGAACATGTATGAAGTATTTTTATATAATTTTTTCCAATGCAGTTCTATGTATAAACACAAATGGGCAAAATTAACATGGTTTTAGACATCAGGACAGTGCTTACCCATGAGGATAGAAAACCTAGAAAAGGTACACATGGAGAGGTGCTTGTTGATATGGTGAGATTGATGGATAAGGTCACTTTGTTAAGGTTCATCAATATATATTTAATATTTGTATACTTGTATATGTATGTCACACTTACACAAAAAGTACCAAAATGAAGCAAAACAATCTTTGCCACTAGCAACTTACAGGTTACCAGGAGAGACAAGCAAGACAATTTCTCGTGTGTTCTTCATTCTTTGAATAGGTCTATTTGGTAGCATGTACCTTCTGCCCCAGAGACTTTTTCATTTCTTACGGTGCAAGTCTTTTAGTGATGAATTCTCTTAGCTATGACGTCCTAAAAAGCCTTTATTTTGCTTTGGTTTTGAAAGCAGTTTTCAGTAAGTATAGAGCTCTAGGTTGGTGTCGCGAGCCGCAACGTCAGGACCCTGCCAGCAGGTCCCAAACCCGAGGGAAGAACAACAGGAGAGCAAACAGTCTCACAGACTTACTTCCAGGCTCATGCTGTCTTCCTAGCAAGGCCCCGTTTATTTTTCAGGGTGGGGTATATATAGGCTAAAACCGAAACCAAAAGTGTGAACAGAGTGTAGCTGACTGCAAAGGTCACAATGCTCTACAAAACAAGTATTATGGGTTACATTTGCTAGGCAACAGGTCAGACCACCAGTTGAACTAGCCCGTTGCTATGGGTGACGGCACATCCGTGCCATCGAGGTGACTCAACGTTCAATCATGGCTGTGCTTATGTCAAGGCCTGATCTCATAAGGCTCTCCATAGGTTGGTATTCTTTTTCTTTCAGCATTTGAAAGATGTTGCAGCCACTGTATCATTGCCTCCGTTGCTTCTGATGAGCAATCTGATGTTCTTTTTTATTTATATGTTTTGTGTCACCCACCCCAGTTGCTTGAAAGATTTTTCTTTTCATGCTGGTTTGAATCACTTTAGTCGTTGTGCCTTGTGCAATTTTCATGTTTCTTGTGTTTGGGGATCATTGAGCTTCTCGGTTTATAATTTATATCACAGTTTGAATGTTTTGTTTTTTTTTTTTTTTTTTTTTTTTTGAGATGGGGGTGCCTCCATATGTAGTTTAGTCTGGCTTTGAACTCGCTATGCAGCCCAGGCTGGCCTTGAACTCTTAGCGACCCTCCTGCCTAAGCATCCTGAGTGCTGGGATTACAGGTGTGTAATTCCATTAACTCTACCCCTGAAATATTTTTTTCTTTTCTCTCCCCTTTCCTTGAGAGACTCCCATTCAACACATATTAGGTCACTCAAGTTTGTCCCATAGTTTACGGATGCTCTGCTAACTTCTTTGAATTCTCCCTTATCTCTGTGTTTCATTTTGGGTGGTTTATATTTAAATTCCACTAATTTTCTTGGTGGGGGATGCCAGGGATTGAATTTGGGATCTTCACTTGCGAGGCAGGCTGCGGCTCCACTGAGCTAAATCCCCAGCTAAATTCACTAATCTTGTCTGCAATGTCTGAATTGCAGCTCATTCCTTCCAGTATATTTTTATTTTTAATTTTTGGCACCGGGGATTGAACTCAGGACCTTGCACTTGCAAAGCAGGCATTGGAACCACTGAGCTAAATCGCTGGCCCTTCCAGTATATTTTTAGGTAAGGCAGTCCAGTTGTCATTTCTAGAAGTTTTATTTGAGTCTTTAAAAAAAGAACTTCTATATCTTTACAGAGTTTTTGAAAATATGAAATGCATATATAGCTATTTTAATGCCTTTTCAAATTCTTTTATCTGTGTCAATACTAGAATGGTTTCAACTGATGGATTTTTCTCGTTGATGGGTCCTATTTTCTTCTTAACGTATCTGGCAATTAGACTGTAAGTTTTACTTCATTGAGTTTTGTATTCTTTTATATTCTAATATTCTTAGTTTTTAATTTTAATTTTTTATTACTGTGTGTTTGCCATACACAATGATTATATTCTGTGTGGGGAGTAGGCACGTGTGTTTCACACATTTTAATTTCTTTTCAATCCTCTTCCTCCCTCCCGCCTCCCCCTGTCTCTTGGTCTATGTTCTTGAGCTGTGTATAGGGCTAGGGTTAGGCTACTTGGAAACTTATTGATTCTTTTAGGTTTTGCTTTTAGAAGTTAGCCAGGACCTAGAAAATACTTAGTACAGGAGTACTTCTTCTCCCCTGCCAAGGCAAGACCTTTCAGGGTGTACTGCGCAGTGCTCCCTGAGTGAAAACTGTTGCCCACGTGGCTGAGAGAAGCAGCACTTGTACGACCAGCCCCTGGAGCACAGCGTTCTGTCCAGTTTTCTCAGATGGTTCCTTTCCCCGCCTCAGTCAGACTTTTCTCTACCCTGAACTGATTCATACTCTGGGCTCTACTGGAGGGGGTCCCCCGAGTATCTCTGAGCCCAGAGGCCTCTCTGCTACTCCTCACTCTGTCTCCCTCTCCCCACCCCAGGAAGTCTGCCAGACCCTGCCAGAACCTCCCCTCCCTGCCCGAGGAGGAAACTCTCAGGACAGCGAGCTGGGACATTGCTGGGCACTCCTTATGTCCTTTCTTCTCTCAGGGATCTCTTTTATTGCCTCAGTCCCAGTGCCTTAAAAACCACTGTCCAGTTTTCTGGTTTCAGAGAGGACAGTGAAATCCATCCCGTGTCACCACATCATTGCCAGAAAAGATACATTGCCTGGATGTGAATTAATTTTGAACATGAATCTCATTTGAGCCCAATTTATTACCCATTTACTCTCACAATTACATTTTATAGATATTATGTAATATTGCTCTATCACTGGGAGCTGGATGAATCATATTCAATTATTTAAGGTAAAACATTTCACTGTTTTTTTTGAAATACTTTGTTGGTGTCAGCTAAAGGGAAACTGTTACCACAAATTTACTCTTATCAAGAATCAGGAAGTAAGAGATCTGCATGAGATTCAAAAAGTTGTTTTGAGTAGAAGACTATATATTGGCCATCTGTTTGGACAGCATATAGTTGTCAGAATTTTATGGCAGAATAAATTTGCTGCCTTGAGCCTCTCCTTTGATAAGATGTCAGCAGATAATAGTACAGTGACCTTAACACAAGGTACTAAAATTGTTTTGACATTTTTAATGTCCTTACTAGCTGTTGCTATAATATTAGGGAATGCTGTGGTCATTTTAGCTTTTATTGTGGACAAAAATCTTAGACATCGAAGTAATTATTTCTTTCTTAACTTGGCCATTTCAGACTTCTTTGTGGGTAAGTTATATGTCTTTATTTTAAATAATCTTTTGTAATTATAATTACCTTTAAAGCCTTAAATTTAGCTCTTGCTATGTCAGGGGCCTGTAGGAGATTGGGTGGTATTAAAAACAAAAATTATTAAATTCTGGTAAGGGGTCTACATGGTATTTTAAGAGAATGTTATATATGTATCAACCAGTGTGATAGAATTTCCATCTGAAAAGTTTATATTTTATAGAATAAAGTAAGTCTAGAAGTTGTAAAATTGTTTTAGTGTAAGAGTTGTTTCTGAAGCTGTTTTCCTTATATGTTTAGATTTATAAATATTCCTCTGTAAGTATAGTTTGCTTGGTATCAGTGTTGGGTGATAGAAATAATGTATGTGCTGGAGACCAATTAGAAAATGGGATATTCAGGCCCGTTAAATAGTACGGTTACCAGAATTATTTTTTGATATAGCACCAAATGTCATAAAATACACCCAATACCAAATTACCCTGCATATATCATAGCATTGTATAATAGCAAGAGACCCTACAAATCAAATTAATCTTTCTTTGAAAACACGTTCTGTGCAATTTCTCACACTCTGAATGTCACCCTTTTTACACAATGCATATAATAAATATAAATGCAGAATTGTCAGCTGACTGATATTGCTTTATAGGAGCTTCCAGCCTAATAGAATCTCGAATGTTTGGATTCTATTTATTTATAGCTGTTTAAAGCCTGCATTTATGTTAAAACGAAACAAAACTTAATAGTTAATTGCCCCCGACGCAGTCGTTGCTCAACCAATGTTACTGCCCTTCTTTGGTGTCCTTGCAGATATGTGTCAGCCCAAGCCAACCAAGTTCAGGAATGTTCTTATAGTACACAGTAGCGTAGCTACTGCGAGGCACACAGCTATTTTAGAAAATCAGGGGATGCTGGAAGAGCAGGTCGCCGCGTGTGTCAGGAAGCTCTTAATGTAGTCCCGCGGTTAGAAGCTCGCAAATGCAGGCAGCAGCACAGAGCGCTGTGAGGGCCACAAGGGCCACCAGGGACCGTGGCACTCAGGACACTTAGTGGCGTCCGAAATGAACCTCTGAATGCCTAGCATTTCCCCAGGAAGAAGCGGCCGTGCGTGCTGGTAAAATCCTTGCGCCTCTCTCCAGTGTGAGCTCCAGGCTGGCTGCGGTGCGCAGGGAACGGGAGCAGGGAGGGAGGAGGCTGGTATCTACACGGTGAAGGGCTTTGCTCAGCAGGGTCAGCCTGCTCGGAGCTGAGGAAGCAGGCAGCGCGCAGAGCTAGGGATTTTTAAACAGGACAGCGAGGGGATGGGCCGAAGCCTCCCTTGGGGGCCAGGGGAGAGCTGGAGGAGGGCTGTGGGGCAGTCAATCTAGGTCAGAATCAGGGCGGCAGGCTCAGAGATAAAGCAGGGTGGAGGGGAAGGGCAGGGGAAAGAGACGCGAAGGGTGTGGTCAGGAAAGAGAAAGGAGGAGATGAGGAAAAGATGGGGCGCCTGGGGCTAAGAGGGTGACAGCCCTGGATTGAAATATGGGGCCCTGGGAGGGCGGCCCTGGTTCTGACGTTACCTTGAAAGTTCTGGGGAAACGTCTAGCTGGGGAGATTGGTTTAGGAGTCATGGTGCCTAAATGACAGTGGCGCAGATTAAAAGGGCTAACCAGCGCAGAAATTTTCTTCCTCCCCTGCCCTCCCCTGCCCTCCCCTTTCCGTGGTACTGGGAATTGAACTTTGTGCTTTTGCATTGACTCACATTACCACTTCTTTTTTTTAATGAGACAGGACCTTGCTAAATTGCTAACTTGCCTAGACTTGGCTCACTTGCAATCCTCCTGCCTCAGCTTCCAGGAGTGTGCCACCATGTGCCTCCATGTCAGCCTTACAAAACTATTTCCTGTTTTAAAAAGCAACAGTATTCTTACTCCCTCCCCAGTTTTCTCTCTCCATGTGTACATGCTTCTATATCATTCCCTACATTCACAAAACATGTACAAACACACAAGAATATTTATGTAAACCAAAGAATACTTTTGTTATAAATATATGTACATTTTGCTTTCTCCACAGAACTGTGTGACTTTTAGGCAGAAGTGCTTAAAATAGATTGAAGGTTTTGCCTAACCCAGGTGGGAGTAAGGCTCTGATGACCCTTGTAGGAGGGGAAGTGGCTGAGCAGCCCAGGACCTGAAACTTTTGAACAAAGATGAGCGCAGATAAGAAAAGTGTCTTTCTTTGTGGCCTGAGGTAACCATCAAGGTGGCCCTATTGTCCTGGCCTGGAGCACCACAGCACAGCGAGGTGACTGTTCCTTGAGAAAGGTCCCAAAGATATGAGAATCAGCTTGTCAGGTTTGAGCTTCTCATTCCCCTGCCCCGGGCAACTCATCCAGAGATCGGCTCACTTAGCACAGTCCTGGCCCTGGCAGGAGAATTGACCGGGACAGTCCCTGGGAAGCCTCCAGTAAGACTCGGGCTTTCTGTTGGTGCTGTTCTCTCTCCCTTTGCTCAGATGCACGTCTTTTGGCCTTGCTTGTGGTGGAACCCACAGAGGAGTCTGGGTAGTGGAGGGTTGGGCAGGGCGGGACTCTGAGAGGCTCCCTGGAGCTGGAAGCCAGCCACTCTTCATGTGTGGGGTCCGGAGACCCAGTGCCATGGGACAATGACAGACAGATGGGGCCCTTGGGTGGTCGGTATCCTGGGCCTGCTGCCCAACCTGCTCTCAGGTTTCAGAGCTGGCCTTGTGCGGAGGGTCTCCATTTGTACTCGCAAAGTAGCTAGGTTCGCAGGCTGAACCTACTTTTGGAAAGCAGAGACTTTTTTTGAGGAAAAATTTCAACTACCAGCTACACCTGATGATTGATAATGATAAAAAGGAAATAGATCTCATCTGTATCCTATTGATATAAATATAGATTGAAAAGTACATCGTCTATCACGTTGGTGTCAGGTGACCAGCATTTCCATTATGGGCATCCTCTTAACATTGCTAGGTCTGCAGACATTTGTGGCTGATACCACTGGTGTCAGGTGGCTGGGCTGGGGGCAAAAATGTAGCTGCTGCCACAGCCCGAGATAGACTCTCCAGATGGAAAGTTTGTCTGCACTGCTCTCAGGCACCGGTTTGAGACTATTGCTCTCTGTATTAGTGTGTTTAGCCTGCTGTCCCAAATACCAGTCTGAGGGGCTCCCACAGCAGGGATCGATGCTGGCCCAGCCTGGAGGCTGGACGTCCCAGGTGTAGGTTCTGTCAGTTTGGTTCCTGGGGAGGGCTTACGTCCTGGTTTGCAGGGACTGTCTGATTGTGTGCTCCTGTGGCCTTTCTCCGTGCGTGGAGAGAGGGAGAGACCGCGGGAGAAGAAGAAAGGGCACACTCTGTTTTCTATTTTAAAAAGACACTATTCCCATTAAACAGGAAGGTCACCCTTGTGACCCTATTATCCTTAATTTCCCCCTTAGAGGAAACAGAGCCCCACTAAAGGTTAGGGCATCCCGAACTCGGGAGGGGACGTGGACATTCCATCCCTACCTTCATGTGCTCCCCACTGTCCATGCAGCCCCTCTGTTGGCCCGCATGGGGCTACGAGGCCCCCCAACCCCAGCACCTTTTGCTTGACACTTTCACAAGAAGGTGTGGCCACTTCTTAGCTGGCTTGGGTAGAGGGGGCGACACCACACTGCTGCCACCCTCATCGGTTCATTCACCCAGTCATTTATTTTGAAGCAAGTGCTCCCTGAGGGGCTGGGGATGCAGCAGCAGGGAAAAGGCAGACCAAACTCCCTGCCCCACTGTGCTTGTGTTTCTACCAGGTGTGGGAGTGTGGAGACAGATGAGAAATGACAGATATAAGTACGTTAAACCATACAGCTGGTGATATGATGGAGTGGGGGTGTGCTGGGGTTGGGGGCTGCAGTTTCCAGCTTCCTGGGCAGGGCTGGCTGAGAAAGGCACACTTGTGCAGAGAGAGCCCCACTCTGTGGCAGGTGGCGTGGTGCATTGGGAACAGAGTGCCTGAGAGGGGGTAGAGCGAGTCACCCAACCTCACAGGGTTCTTCTCCTCCTGTCCCTTCCTTCTCTCGTCCCTCTGTTCTTTCACCTTCTTGCACCTCCTTTTCACCACCTTAAAAAATAATATATATAATTAAACATATATATATATATATATATGTATGTATGTATGACTTTTTTTTTTTGAGACAAGGTCTCACTATGTAGTTCAAGCTGGATTTGAGCTCACTATGGAGCCAAGGCTGGCTTTGAACTCCTGGCAATTGTCCTGCCTCAGCCTCCCAAGTACTGGCTTATAGGCATGTGCCACTATGCCCAGGTAATATAATTTATTTACATTTTTCATGAAATGACCAGAGGCACCAAAGCTTTATTGCTCTTTCAAGGGACTGGTTCTTGGCTTTACTAATAAAGTCCATTTGACCTGGAAGGAAAATTCCAGAGCAGGAGTTGTACAAACACTTTGGAGAAAGTATAACTGAGAAATAGTTCAGATTCACTTTTCTGAAACTCTTTCGGAATGAAATACAAATATCTCCACTGCTTCCCAGACACAGGAGAGGAGGACACACTTACACTGAGGCACCTCGGGGAATACAAGGTGATGGGAGGGCTTATCAAAACCCAAGGAACAGACTAGAGCGATGAAGGTGAACCATTTAGAGTTCTCAATGCTACAAACAGCCCGCTACAGCCTGTGTGGCATAGTTTTGCCACCACTGGACTAGAGTCTGGTTTTTCAAGCAGCATTTAGGGTTTTGAGCACACTCTTTCTCCTTTGTGTCATTCAGAAAGTGTGTGGAAAGAGTATTTAACTCAGGCTCCTCCCTTTCACCTTTAAGTCAGCAGTGTCTGCGATGCAAATGATTACTGGCATCTGCACAGGGAAGGAGTGCAGCTGTGGAAAATCTGCGTGTGGGGAACACTGGAAGCCACAACAAGGGCCACGCACAATGACTGTTTCTGGTGTTGAGGGGTTTTGATTTATGAATGTCTCTGTTTCTGAGATGCTCTGATTTATTTCGGGTAAAGCTGACGCAAACACACACCTGCCCACGTACACACACAGTTTGATGGGATGGAAAGCACCATAAAAAAGCTTAACACTTACTTATTGTTAAAGATACGACTGAAGGGAGGCCTGGAGGCACACGCCTGTAATCCCAGCACTTGGGAGACTGCGGCAGGAGGATCGCTGAGAGTTGGAGGCCAGCCTGGGCTACAGAGGGAGTTCAAGTCCAGCCTGAACTACCGATACAGCAAAACCTATCTCAAAACACCAACAATAACAACAACAATTGAGAAATGATGGAAGCAAGCAGAATATTTAGACTATATAGCTCTTCCTTTCCACCATGTTTCGTCTCCTACCTCTGTCCATAAACCCGAGAAAGGATACTAAGTCTGAGTTCCCCTTCGCTGGTTTCCTGCCGGGAGAGCTCCATAGTGTTTGGGAAGAATTCAGGGACTATTTCCTTCTTTTTCTTTCATCTTTACTGTTATTCTTTTTTTTTTCTGTTAAAGATAGGATAATTTGGTTCTCATACCAAAAACAATGAGGACTTGTCTACAAGCCCTTTATAAAATAAGATGATCTCCTTCCACAGATCTATTCTTAGCATGCAGTGATACCTTTCTGAAATTTCAGTGCAGGGGAGGGAGCACGGCCTAGTCATTTCCACAGGTGAGCAGTTTCTGTGAGGGGCTGCACTGCTGGGGCAGAGGTTACCTAATACTGCTCCTTCAGGGCAGGGTTGTGGTTGGAGCCACGGCTTTTGAAATTCTATTTCCTGATTTTAAATTCAGTGGTCCTTCGCTAACTAGCTGAGTGGGCCTCTGCCTAATTGGCTCCTTTCTGAGTGCTGGGCTCTTCACCTGCAAGGCCAGACACACACAGTTTGTATGAAGAGTAAATGTGATGAGCACTGGCCAGGCAGAGAGCGCGAGCATGAGCCAGACCCACAGTCCCTGTGCAGTACTCGTCGGCTGGTGTGAAGTCCAGCTCGCAGCTGCTGTGCAGGTCAGGCTGGATGTTGCAGGAAGTGCAACATTGCCTTGCGACGTGGTCCTAGTCCCAGGGGGAGGCCGATTAAACAATAACCAGGATATAAGCTGGAATATAATTAGTGTACTGGAGGTGAAGGGACTCAAGTGCAAAGTGCTGGGAGAGTGCAGATGACAGAGGGATTATCTATTTTTTAAATTAACTTTTATTGGTACATTTTAGATATACATAACGATCACATTCATCACAGGCAATTTGTACCTGTATGTAATATATCTTGATTCTTCTTTTTCCCCAATCCTCTCCCTGCCCTTCAGTCTACAGAGGGATTCCTTCTGCCAAGGAAGTTCAGAGAAAGATCACAGGGATCACAGGAAGGAGGTCTCCTTTTGACTTTAGGGAAGAGAGACAAGGAAGTAAATGCACGCATGCGTGCACGCGCTTGCGCGCGCGCGCGCACACACACACACACACACACACACACACACACACACACACACATGGAAGATATTCTAGGATGAGAAAATGAAGCTGGCAGCTGGGCCTGTGAATACATGGTTGTAATCCCAGTTACTCGAGAGGCTGAGGCAGGAGGAGGCAAGTTAAAGGCCAGCCTGGGCATGTGTTTGAGACCCTGTCAAAATACAACAGTAAAAAGAAGAAAGGGGGTGTTGGGGGACATGCTCAGCATTCCCTGGGTTTAGTTCCCAGTACCACAAAAACCAAAAGCCCCCCAACCTCTAAAAAAGAATGAAGTAATGAAGTTAGGAAAGAGAAAGTTGTTAAAATGTGGGGTGCATCTGGGGAAGGGTGACCCATAAAGAACATAGAGATGGTTAGGATCAAACTTAATTTGGCGGTCCATTATTTGGACCATTGGCGGTCCATTATTCATGACAGCTATTATAAAAACCACAATTTAAAGAATGCATAGGACACCAGGCCTGGACTGCTTAATGGAATAACATGAATTTTGATACATAACTGTGCTAGTCAGCTTTGCATTCCTATACCAAAACACGTGAGGCTTTTAAGCTGTAAAGGAGAAGGTTTATGTTGCTTACAGTTTGGAGATCCAAATCCAAGATTAGGGGCTGGCCAGTTCGGCCTTGGATGAAGGTGATGGACAGCAATGGTGGAACAGATGTCGGAGTTAGGGCCCACATCTAGAGCCAGGAGTCACAGGCATTGAGGAACTGGGGTGTCCTGCTCTCACTGACCCAAGGACCTCCCACTAGGCCCCTCCTTCTAAAGGTCCAAAGCACCTCCCAATACCATCATTTTGAAGACCAACGTTTTACACATGTATCCGTGGGGGACATTCATCAAAATCACAGCAATAGTCCAGCCATTTTTAGTAAATTCATGGTGTCGTCTGTTCACTAGATTACGCATCTCTGTAGTCATTGATATGTGCTGTTTTTCCCCCCGTGCAGGTGTATTTTCAATTCCTGTGTACATCCATTCCTCACTGACTACTTGGACTTCTAGAAAGGAAATCTGTGTTTTTTGGCTCATTACTGACTATCTTTTCTGTACAGCATCTGTATATAACATTGTCCTCATCAGCTATGATCGATACCAGTCGGTCTCAAATGCTGTAAGTCCAAATGTTAATTTATTTTCCTTAGATGATTGTATGGATGTAATGTAACGGTTTTCCCCTGTCCCTTTGGTACTGGAGATGAAACTCAAGGACTTGTACATTCATGTGCTCCACCACTGAGCTACATACATCCCAATGAAAAAGGTTTAGATCTAATGTTTATTTAATTGAGAAATCTTAGTAGAAGTCCATCCTTCTGTTATCTGGTACAAAGTTCTCACTGGCCTTTGTGTGATTTGGGAAGTCATTCTCCTATGAGCCAATGAAATGGGAGGCCATCAGAAAGAACTCAGGAGTGACATACTGAGTTGTAGGTTGGATATACACAAGGTTCATAGTAGATTTATCAGTTCCACTCTATAGACAAATTGATACCTAAATATTTTCCAAAGGGTGGAACTTGGTGAGCAAATAGAAGGAATCTCAGATGTCTGAGTGGAATGAGAAAATCACTTCTGAGTGGCCAAAGGAAAAGATGGGTTGTACAGTGGGACCAGCCAGAAAGACCAAGTCCCAAGGCCAATTTAGGGCCTCTGCCAAGAAAGTCTGAACTTAGTCAAAATCTGGAATAGTTTCATCAGTGAGTTAATAAGAATTCATAAGCAAAATAAGTTCTCAGCAACAGAACATTGGAGAAAACAGAACAGGGTAAAGTGAGGAATAGAAATATGGGACAGTGATTTAAAATCTTTGGGAAACTTCTTTCACTTCTGAGGCTCAGGGGTCCAAATCTCTGGGGAATTACTGTGTACCAGGCATTGTGCTAAGTGCTGGAACCGAAAAACACTTACTCTCGAGGGTTATGGTTGATGTGGTGCAGTCCAGAGCACATGAGTTCTCTACAAAGGTCTAAGTACTGTGCTGGCAGTGTAGATGGGATAGCTCCTGCTGAGGAGGGCTATGTGGCCTGGAGGCCACCAGGACTGGAAGGAGATGTTAGATAGGGCAAAGGACAAACTGCTGGAGCAAAGAGATTCTAAAATCCAAGGCTCAAGCAGGAAAGAAGTTGCATTGTCCCTCCCAGGAAAGAGGGAAGGTTCTGCTTCAGAAACCCACCCAGGGACACCCTCACAGGGTGGCTCTGCACCCCTTAGGGCAAGGGTTAGCCAACTTTTACTACCCCAGGCCACATAGTAAATCTTTTCTGCCTCACAGGAACATATGGTCTTGGATGTAAATACTCAACTCTGTTGTAGCAGCACAAAACAGCCCTAGAAGATACATTTTAAAAAAATGTCATTGGTGTGTTCTAATAAAACCATTTACAAAAGCAAGGGGTGGGCCATACTTATTCCTTGAATGGTAGTTTGCTTGCCCCTGCTGTAGGCCATTATCCTCTGCATGATTAAAGTTAGGTTTTTGTTACTCCAGGTTCTAGACAGGAAGTGGGAAGGACTGAAGTCCAGGGCAAGGGATTTTCTTTTTAACCGGGCAGTGCAGAATCACAGTGACATTTCTACTCACCTTGTATTGGTAGAAATTAATCACATTGTCCCTCCTTGTTGCAAAGGAAGCTGGGAGCTGTGGTCTCTGGCTGATCTACCATATGGCAGGGAGAAGGGGTGAAAAGTGGTGAGACTGCCAGCCATCTCCACCGGTTGCCATTGGGAACTTCATCAGTGCCAGGTCTGCTGAAGTTGTATTGGTCAAACTATGAAGAAAGTGTGCATCGTTCTGGGTTAACAATCGAAATACCAGCAATCTTATCTTTCTCAAACTGCAGACCTTTACCCATTATTGAGTCATGAAATCAGTGCAGTGGGGTTTTGGAGCAGAATAGAACGGAATAAAAATGAGAGTAGCTTGGACACCATGCAGGTACCTACTGTTTTATGAATTCTACGTACTTGGTTATGATATAAAATCTATTTCTTGCTCTAGATACAGTTAAATGTTTGCACGTTTAAATTTTCCTACCTTTCTGGGTTAACAGTTCTTTGTGATCTTCACTGGATGCTCTTAGGATTTCCATCATGAGTTGTCCAAGCTTTTGAGTCTCCCCCTGGGTCTGTGAGCTGAAACACTACAGCTTGCCAGTTAGAAAAGTGCTCAGACCGTACCGAGTTGAGAACGATGCCCAGAGAGGAAGTGGGTGGAGTGTGTGTGTGAGAGAGAAATGCATCGTGCTCTTGCCCTGAAGAACTCCTTCGGCAGTGCAGGCTGCAAAGCTGGCGTTGGCTGGGGGGCTGGATCCTTGTCCGTAGTGTGCAGCACGGAGCCTCAATGAATGTGTGAATGCTGGCGGGCTCCCCAGGGGGCACTCGTACCTCTGCAGCCCAGTTGTTCACGCACAGCCTTGTGAAGCCAGCAGGAAGCCTCCCAGCCAGTCCCCTGGGAGCGCAGAGGAGGTGGCCGTGTGAAGCTGAGCTCCTGCGATAGCTCAAAGTAGAAGAGAAGTGTGGTGGGAAACGGGGTGGGCCGGGCCTGAGAAATGGCAGTCTGATAACACTTTGGAAAAGGAAAGCTCAGTGCAGATGGCTGCCTGATATTACGGAGCTCAGAAAAGTTCTCCGGAGGAGCAGAATTCATGTGGTGGAAGCCAGAGTTCATGAGGAAGGAGGGAGAACAGAGCTGGATCACAGCTGGAAGGAATGAAAGTTAAAATGCTCATGGAGTAAAGGTGGAGACAGAAGAGTATTTCTTTACTTTCAGATAAAGAAAGCAATGACGGTAAAAGGAAGACGGTAGGAATTATACTGCTGGGGAGGCTGGGGAGGGCCCTGTGCTATTTGGCAGGGGCTGCCGCTTTATCACCACACAGAGTGGCTGAAATGACAGAATCTTATTGTCCCATGGTCCTAGAGGCCAGAAGTTTGAAATCAAGGTGTTGACAGGGCTGTCCCCTCTCTGAAGGCTCTAGGGGACCCATCTGTGCCTTCCTCTTAGCATCAGATGTTGCTGATAATTCTTGGCATTCCTTGGTTTGTCGAAACTTCACGCTAGTCAGGCAGGTGGTGTTCTCCATCCTCTGTAGCTGTGTTCTTTACTCACAAGGACACCAGTTACGCTGGGTTAGGTGAACCCTAATCTAGTCATTTAGGATGAAAATCTATGCCCTCATCTTAATTTGATTACATCTGCACTCTGTTTCACAATAAGGCCACATTCACAGGCACTAGCGGTTAGGAGCTCCGTGTCACAGTACAACTCACAGCACGCACTCAGACTGGTCCTGTAATGTCATACCAACACTGGCGGGCTTTTCTGCCTCACAAAAGCAACCAACTGATGGGACATTTGGGTATTTTACTGGGGCAGGCTACGAGGCAGTCTCCTGACTAATGCACTTGTTGTGCGTGAGACCTCGAATCCTGGCTGACTTCAGGCAGGCGGCTCCAACCAGCTGGGTCCAGACTCAAGCAGTGCTCGAGCTGTCTGTCTGTTGAAATATTCCCCCAGAGTGAAGAGAAGAGGTGGGTCTTCTCCTCTCAGGTCCCTGGGATGTCCATTACCTCCACTGACCTTAGGCATAATGAAAGAAGGTTCACTTTCTGCATATTGCATTATATCATTCCAAAGGCTGAACGGAGCAATTAAAAAACTAAAAACAGTTTTATGACCATCTGGGTATTGTTACCATCTTCATAATCATTAGATTTAGCCCAAGAGATACGTTAATTAGAGGTGTGAGAAGAAGGGGAAACAATGGATTTATGTGAGAGCCTGTGGTCAGGCCCGTTCTGATCAGCATGTATTATAATTTATCCTCAGAAGTACCAATAATTTAGGGGAATGAAAACCACTTCCCTAAAGTTGAAAGAAAACTTTAAAAAATTACCAATTTCCTCTTTCCTGTAGCCATTAGTAGGCTGGTCTCCACATGCACAATCCATCGGAGAAATGGTGTTGGATTCCTTTAGAAAAGTGAAAACACTGTAGACAGAGGCTTTAAAACTCACAGAAAAACTAGTACATGAGAAATAGTGAAAAGGAGACATGCTCCTATTTCTTGAGTAGATGCTTTTGCTTTTTGGGGAGTGAGGAAAGAGAAATAGGGAACATTTGCACGTCTTCCAAGGAGGATCTAAAAGAGGCTTGGAGAAGCTGTGTGTTCCAGATGCTCATGCAAAACTCTGGGTTCGGACACTTACCCCTCACAAGCTAAAGTGGCTGGCCTTAGGTCCTTCTAGATTTGGAAAATGTTCTTAAGGACTTCGGGTCTGACATGGGTGCCTGTGATCTGAGGGCGGTCCTCACTCATAAAATCTCATTTTCCTTTAGAGAAGCCTGGCTTTGTTAGCTAGAAAGATCTCCACCTTTATGAGACAGGGGCACTTGCTACAGTCAAAGTGGCCGCGTGTCACAGAGGTGACATGTATCCATCAGATGGAAACACTTGCAGAAAATCTGCTTTGGCAGTGCTTGATAATAGGAGCATTTCCCCGTCTTTCTGCTTGTGGTCCACGTTCTTGGGAGTGATACACACAGAGTCCTTCTTTCTGCTCTTGACCCTCCATGGAAGACTCAGCATGAATCGCAGAGTGGAACCGTTCTGTATGTTGGATTATAAGGTTAGCCACGGCTTCTGAACGTCTTTGACTGGGACCACAGTGAGAAAGGCACTTTACACTACGATCTAATACATGCATTGCTCTCTCTGTGCATCTCCACAGACCCCCCAAATATTGCTTTGATCGATGAAACATCATCAAACAATATCGACGATGCCTTCTGACACTGACTATTCTACCTCACCGGACAGAATGCCTGTCGTGACCCTGCCTGTAGGAGAAATCAGGAGCACCCACTTTCAGTTATTTAACATTCACATTTGTGTCTGCGAGTTAGAAAAACACTTGTCTTATTTTAGATATTGGCCTTGACAGTTTGTATGGTGTCAGAGGTTTATTCTTGAGGGTTGCAGTTTTGCCCTTGAAAATCTCTTATGAGGGCTGGGGATTTGGCTCAGTGGTTCCACCACCTGCCCTGCAAGTGTAAGTCCTGAGTTCGATCCCTGGTATGGAAAAAACAAACAAACAAACAAAAAACAAAAGAAAACTTGAGGAAAGTCTGTATCTTGGCTCAGGTTCCACCAAAATGAACCTCCTGTCCCTGCCTCTGTCACAATACCCATCCTAGTAAATGTCCTCATCTCTCGCCTATCCCCAAAGCTCTGGGATGCTTTGTGTGAGCAATATGTATTCATGATGTGTGGAAACTGATTTATTTGGTCTCTCGTAGGTGTTGTACAGAGTTCGCCACACTGGCACCTGGAAGATTGTCACTCAGATGGTGGCTGTTTGGGTGCTGTCCTTCTTGACAAACGGGCCGATGATTCTGATTTCAGAGTCTTGGAAGCAGAGCACCACCAACACATGCGAACCCGGATTTTTTGTCACGTGGTACATCGCTGTCCTCACGTCGTTACTGGAATTCCTGGTCCCAGTCTCTCTAGTCGCTTATTTCAATGCCCACATTTACTGGAGCCTGTGGAAGCGAGGGAACCTCAGCAGGTGCCTTAGCCAACCCGGAGTCCCCTCTGCCTCTTCCAGTGATGACCACGCCCTCGCATGCAGACAGGGCCGGGGTTCAAGGGTGACCCTTCCGGCACAGAAGCCAGCGGTGGCCTCCCTGAGCCCAGACGTGCCACAAAGAAAGAGCAGTCTCTTGTTTTCCATTAGAGCCCACAAGAATAACAGTTTAATTGCCTCTAAAATGAGTTTCCTCTCCCATTCAGATTCCCTGGCTCTTCAGCAAAAGGAACATTTTGAACTTCTCAGAGCCAGGAAATTGGCCAAGTCACTGGCCATTCTTTTAGGAGCTTTTGCCGTCTGCTGGGCTCCATACTCACTGACCACAATTATTCATTCGATATTTCAAGTACAGAATTTTGCTAAATCCACCTGGTACAAAATTGCCTTTTGGCTCCAGTGGTTCAATTCCTTTGTTAATCCCTTTTTGTATCCATTGTGTCACAAACGTTTTCAGAAGGCTTTCTTGAAAATATTTCATGTGAGAAGGCAATCCATACCAGCACAAAATCGCTCAGTATCCTCTTGAAGATAATGTTCTCACTTCTGTAAATTTTAGGCATAATCTCCTAAAAGACTTTGACCTGGTTTGCACACTGCTCTTCCCATTCTACCAAAAAATCCATAAAGCTGTAACACCTGAAAATTAAAAAAAAAAAAAAAAAAAAGAAACCTGGAAGTCAGTGGAAAATGAACAAGGTCTAGTGATAATGTTTTTGTAAATAGCCACAAAGTAACTAGTATTTTTCTTAGTCATAACCTCTTCCTGTAGATCTTGATGTGACACTGATTGTGAAATTCTAGTTTCTGATTTCTACATTCAGCATTTTCTACAGTAGTATGTTTATTTCTCTCTTTAGAAAATTCACAGTAGTAATACAAGGATATTCAGTTGGAAAATCATTTCCTAAAGTGGGCAATAGAAAAAATAGCTTCATTGCTGGGTGTGGGTGAGTTGGGGTTCAAATTAGCCAAGTACGGAGCGGGAGAGAGCCCAGGTGAGCTTGATTTTCCACACTTTATGGTTGTGGTCCCAGGAAGGAGGCAGATGTGCAAGGCCCTGGCCATCACAGGAGGGGAAGGGGAGGAGGACAGACAAAGTTCAGCATTGGTATGAAGAACCTTCCTGCCCTCTTCTTCCAGCTTCCTTATTAGCTATAATTTCTCTTTCTGAGAAAATGTGGGGTAAAAAGACTACTGGATTAAAGTAGATATACCTGCTGTAACTTGCACTGAACCAGTAGACGTCAATAATTGTTAAGAAAATATTGTATTTATTAGTGTTGTTTAGCTCATTTACCCAGTACTTTATGTTGCAAGGCTCAAAGTTATTTGTTACATGGTTAGCATAGGTTATGCTTTTTACTGATGATTCATATTTTATTAATTTGGTGATTTATTTTCATTTTTAATAGTTCTCTTTCTTTTAATGTCCTGTGCTGGTCTTTTCTCATAAACTTTTATAAGTTTTTTTTGTTTGTTTGTTTTAAACAACAGGCATTTATTTCTTACCAGTCTGGAGACTGGCAGTCCAAGATCCAGGGGCCTAGATGGTTCTGCCTTACAGGAAGTACCCCTCCCAGCCAGCAGATGGCTCCCTTCTTGTTACATCTTCAGGTGGAAGAGGAGGGTGGGGTAGGAACCAGGGCTCCTGTCTCTCTTGTCATAGGAACACGAGTCCCATCGTGAGGACCCTGCCTGCATGACCTCATCTAAACCCAGTTATTTCCAGAAGACCCCACTTCCAGACCCCAGCACTTTGGGGGCTAAGGTTTCAGTGTAGGCATTTAAAAAAAATTTAAATTGAATTTATTGGTACATTCTAGGTAGACAGTACAGTTACATTCATTACTGGGATCTTGTACCTTTACATGCCAGGTCTTGGTTCTCATTTTTTCCCCTTGTCCCCACGCTCCCTTCACCCCCTCCTCCCCTCCCCACCTTCAAATACTTTAATTCCATTTTTACATTTTCTCATATTTTTTTCCTTTTCCCTTATTCCCCCTTCCCTATCCTTCTCACTGTCCATACACCTTTGGTCCTTTTCTTCCTATTTCACGTTGCTAATTGTCCCATTAGGATCTTGAGTACTATTTTAGTTTTTCACACGAGAGAAACTATTCTGTATTTACAAGTGTGTGACTTATTTATTTCACTTAGGAGTATGTCCTCAATATGTATCCATTTTCCTATGAATGAATCTACTTTCTCATTCTTTATGGCTGAGTTGTATTCCATTTTATAGAAGAACCACATCTTCTGTATCCAGTTTCCAACTGATGGGCAGATGGGCTGTTTCCAAGTTTTAGCTATTACAAGCTGTGCCGCTATAAACATGGGTGTGCATATATCACTGTGGTATGATTCTTTTAATTCTTTTGGGAAGAAGGGATTCAAACATTCAGCCCCTAACCTCATATTTATTAGTTAGAAGCTTTCTATTTCATTGCTTCAAAGCTATTATGTGGGACTTTTTAAAAATAGTTTTCATATTTATGCTGGAATTTTCAATGTTGGCTTTTTATTTACTTGAATATTGAAACATAGTTGTTTAATAATCAGTATCTGCTAACTCAAATATCTTCAGTCCCTGTGGACTGTATTTTGTTATCTGTTTTTCCTGCCAATTCTTTTTCAAGGTGTCTCATTTCCTTGTGTCCTTGACTTTTAAAAACATTATCTAAGGATTAAAAATTTTTATGATGACTTGTTTGCAGTATATGACTACATTCATCACTGGGGAGTCTCTTCAAAAAGTTTTTATCAGAATTTCTTCTACAACATCTCACAGTTCTTATATGGTTTGATAATTTTCCCATTTTTAGACCTTTTAAACTGATTAATTTCAAACAGTACAATATATAAAAACCTTTTAAGTGCATCAGTGCTTGGAAATGTACATAATTTTACTTGTGCTTATACTTCCCATTAAGTAACAGATGTATGTTTAGCATTTTGAAAAATTTGAGAAGTAAACTCTCATAAATGCACAAAATTTTATAAACTTGTTGTGTCAGCTATTGGTGTTCATATTTATAAATTAGTAGCTGTAAATTTCATGTTATTACCGGAGGCCTGAATGTTCATTGGATGAGGTGGTCCTGTGAAATTTTTGCCTGACTGAACCTTGCAGAAAGCATGCCTAAAAATTCACAAATATTTTCTAAAGTATTCATAAAATATATATTGCATTTCATTCAATCCAAGATACTGTCAATGTTGAGGCCTATTTACTAATGCAAAATGATATAATGCTTTAAAAAATACATCGGTAGTAAGTTCCTTTCTGATTTCAGAGTTGTTGAGAAGTGACCACTGTGTGTCTTAGAAGTGACTCTATGAAATGAGAGTTTGAAAAAAATACTGTACTTTTGATGGCACATGAATATATTCATCAAATAAATATTCATTGAAAGTCTATTGTATAATAGCTACTAATTGTAAAAGTGCCTAAGAACCTTGCCAATAAGAAACAGACTCTCTGGGAACAAGAATTTTACATTGAGGTTCTCGTAATAGCACCACCGGGCACCGGATGAAATGGTTGCTCGGTGGCACTAGGTGGTTTCCTTCCATGATTTCTACCCTTCCTACCCCGGCTTTTGCACCACGACTTTGTAGCTTCTCCCAGCAGAAGTGATCTGCTTTGGCCACAGATCGCTGCAGAGAGAGTGGCCCCATGCTAGTTCAGGCCCACGTACACCTCTGCCTCTCAGAAGTTGCCTGGCACTGGGCCGAAAACTGCCTGCTCCGAGACTGCTGGATGTGACAGGCCACATGGTGCAGAGTCAAGGGGTCCTAGCTGAGCTCAGTTTACACCAGCCAGCCTCCAGGTGACTCGGCAGCCATAACAGAGGTGTGGGCAATAGCAGGCCAAAGGAGGCTGGTTTAAAGCAGCCTAGCATGGTTCAGACCACATGAGTGGCTCAGCTGAGCCAGACACCCCTTGGCAATGGAAAGACTGAATTGTGGGAGTGTCTGTTACTCAGCAATTTCTAACTGACACATCAAGCACCTGCCCTACTGTGTATTGAATTGTAGCCTGGCAGGGGTTGAGGAGAAAAGTAAATGATGACATTACTTGTTTTTGTGTGACAGCTTGGACAACATTATTATGCAAGAGAACTTTTTTTTTTAAGGTCATGGCTACTTGTCTACAGGAACATATTTATTGCAAAATGAATTAGTAGTAAGGATAATGGATTTTGAAGTGTTGCAAATTACACAACATAACAGCAGCATGGGTGCTCCAAGAGGCTAAAGTATGGAGAAGAAAAGGCAGCATGGGGGAAACAAGCTGTTCTCCACCGCAGGCTTCTTTCTTTTCATCCTCTCATTCAGTTTAAGTCGCCATCAGAGACTGCAACCTAAAGCTGGCTTTGCGCTTTGTAGTAAATGGCCCGTCTCTCCTTAAACTGGATTTCTCTGCACTCGCTCCTGTTGCCATTTCCTCATGTGCGCATAGACTTCTCTGAGGGAATCTGAGGACTCATAAGAGGATCTTCCACGGAACCTGTGCGTGGTTAATAGGTTAGTAGCTCTGTGAAAGAATTAGTGGAAGAAGTCTATTTTATCTGTCTTTCAAATTCTGATGCTGTCCTTTTTCTCTTAGAAGTTGAACATAAACATCCTACAGAAAAAATTTAGGACATCTGTCAAAACACTTTTGTGACATATATACCCTTGCTTAAAATTTCCAATCCTTGTGGTAAAGATGTAAGGGATAAAGCTTTTTCTCCATAGAAAGGCACTTATCAGCTTCTCAGAAATTGGAGAACAAGTGGTTTTCAGATTCTTACTCCATCCTTCCGGTTTCCCGGCCCAGTACAGCACTTCTGGGTCATGGCCCAGGGCAGTTAGGTGATGGGTTGGATGTTCTGGTTTTCCTGTCCTTATTTCTGGGATCCAATTGGTTTGCATTCAGTCATTCTTTGTGATTTTTGTTCCTCTGGCTCCCCGTGGGTGGTCTGGAGTTCGAAAGCCATGCTTCTCTAGGCTGAGGAAAATGTCTGCTGCTCTGAGATAACGGCCCAACAAGTGTGACACCAGCCTGTGGGTGCTGGGGCGGAGGAGGAGGTGTCCTGTCCTTTCAAGAATTATATATCACGTGGGATGGAACGGACACGAACACCAAGGGGAACTCGCGCCACGGCGGAGTACTGCTGCGGAGTGACACGGCTTGATTAATTGTTCCTGTCACAGTGATGTTTGCAGGGCCCTGACGCTGTCCTGCTGTGGCGCTGCCCCGCCTGCCCTCTGTCCTTTTGGGCAGCCCAGGTCTTCTGTGAAGAGGCCAGGCAGCTGTTCTCCTGGACATTACATATGGCTCTGAACGGAGAGGGCTAGACTACAATTTGCCTTGGTACGACAGTGCAGAAGCTTGCGTGTGGTGCTGATTCTGCCAGCACAGCACGAACTGGCTCATCCCTCAGGAACTAACACACGCGGAGAGCAGGTAACGTGGCCTGCAAGTCATGAAGTCGTCAGCTGAACCCAGGGCGTCAGATCGGAGTCCAGATGCTTAAGTCTCATCCCACACCGTTTCTCAGCACTTAGGAGGCCCCGCTCAGTTCATCTTCCACACAGGGCAGATGATAATCAGAGCCGGAGAAGCAGGGAGTGGAGAACGCACTGAACAACCACCGCGAAATTACCAGAACCCAACCTGTCTTCTCCCTGACACACAGCAGTGCCGATGTGCTCCACCAGATGGCAGTAGATCCC